AACGGTAGTCCACTGATAACATGTCTGGGGGTGGAGAATAACGGTAGTCCACTGATAACATGTCTGGGGGTGGAGAATAACGGTAGTCCACTGATAACATGTCTGGAGGTGGAGAATAACGGTAGTTCACTGATAACATGTCTGGGGGTGGAGAATAACGGTACTTCACTAATATCATGTCTGGGGGTGGAGGATAAAGGTGTTCCACTGATAACATGCCTGGAGGTGGAGAATAACGGTAGTCCACTGATAACATGTCTGGGGGTGGAGTATAACGGTGGTCCACTGATAACATGTCTGGTGGTGGAGTATAACGGTAGTCCACTGATAACATGTCTGCGGGTGGAGTATAACGGTAGTCCACTGATAACATGTCTGGGGGTGGAGTATAACGGTAGTCCACTGATAACATGTCTCGGGGTGGAGTATAACGGTAGTCCACTGATAACATGTCTAGGGGTGGAGTATAACGGTAGTTCACTGATAACATGTCTGGAGGTGGAGTATAAAGGTAGTCCACTGATAACATGTCTGGAGGTGGAGAATAACGGTAGTCCACTGATAACATGTCTACGGGTGGAGTATAACGGTAGTCCACTGATAACATGTCTAGGGGTGGAGTATAACGGTAGTTCACTGATAACATGTCTGGGGGTGGAGTATAAAGGTAGTCCACTGATAACATGTCTGGGGGTGGAGTATAACGGTAGTCTACTGATAACATGTCTGGTTGGTGGAGTATAACGGTAGTTCACTGATAACATGTCTGGGGGTGGAGTATAACGGTACCTCACTGATAACATGTCTGGGGGTGGAGTAAAAAGGTAGTCCACTGATAACATGTCTGGGGGTGGAGTATAACGGTAGTCCACTGATAACATGTCTGGTTGGTGGAGTATAACGGTAGTCCACTGATAACATGTCTGGGGGTGGAGTATAAAGGTGTTCCACTGATAACATGTCTGGAGGTGGGGTATAACGGTAGTCCACTGATGACATGCCTGGGGGTGGAGTATAAAGGTAGTCCACTGATAACATGTCTGGGGGTGGAGAATAACGGTAGTCCACTGATAACATGTCTGGAGGTGGAGAATAACGGTAGTTCACTGATAACATGTCTGGGGGTGGAGAATAACGGTAGTTCACTAATATCATGTCTGGGGGTGGAGTATAACGGTAGTCCACTGATAACATGTCTGGGGGTGGAGTATAACGGTAGTCCACTGATAACATGTCTGGGGGTGGAGGATAAAGGTGTTCCACTGATAACATGCCTGGAGGTGGAGAATAACGGTAGTCCACTGATAACATGTCTGGGGGTGGAGTATAACGGTAGTCTACTGATAACATGTCTGGTTGGTGGAGTATAACGGTAGTTCACTGATAACATGTCTGGGGGTGGAGTATAACGGTACCTCACTGATAACATGTCTGGGGGTGGAGTAAAAAGGTAGTCCACTGATAACATGTCTGGGGGTGGAGTATAACGGTAGTCCACTGATAACATGTCTGGGGGTGGAGTATAACGGTAGTCCACTGATAACATGTCTGGGGGTGGAGTATAAAGGTGTTCCACTGATAACATGTCTGGAGGTGGAGTATAACGGTAGTCCACTGATAACATGTCTGGGGTAGGAGTATAAAGGTAGTCCACTGATAACATGTCTGGGGGTGGAGAATAACGGTAGTCCACTGATAACATGTCTGGGGGTGGAGAATAACGGTATTCCACTGATAACATGTCTGGGGGTGGAGTGTAACGGTAGTCCACTAATAACATGTCTGGGGGTGGAGTATAACGGTAGTCCACTGATAACATGTCTGGGGGTGCAGTATAACGGTAGTCCACTAATAACATGTCTGGGGGTGGAGGATAAAGGTGTTCCACTGATAACATGTCTGGAGGTGGAGTATAACGGTAGTCCACTGATAATGATGTCTGGGGGTGGAGTATAAAGGTAGTCCACTGATAACATGTCTGGAGGTGGAGTATAACGGTAGTCCACTGATAACATGTCTGGGGGTGGAGAATAACGGTAGTCCACTGATAACATGTCTGGGGGTGGAGAATAACGGTAGTCCATTGATAACATGTCTGGAGGAGGAGAATAACGGTAGTTCACTGATAACATATCTGGGGGTGGAGAATAACGGTAGTTCACTAATATCATGTCTGGGGGTGGAGTATAACGGTAGTCCACTGATAACATGTCTGGGGGTGGAGTATAACGATAGTCCACTAATAACATGTCTGGGGGTGGAGGATAAAGGTGTTCCACTGATAACATGCCTGGAGGTGGAGAATAACGGTAGTCCACTGATTACATGTCTGGGGGTGGAGTATAACGGTAGTCCACTGATAACATGTCTGGGGTGGAGTATAACGTTAGTCCACTAATAACGTGTCTGGGGGTGGAGTATAACGGTAGTCCACTGATAACATGTCTGGGGGTGGAGTATAACGGTAGTCCACTAATAACATGTCTGGGGGTGGAGTATAACGGTAGTCCACTGATAACATGTCTAGGGGTGGAGTATAACGGTAGTTCACTGATAACATGTCTGGAGGTGGAGTATAAAGGTAGTCCACTGATAACATGTCTGGAGGTGGAGAATAACGGTAGTCCACTGAAAACATGTCTAGGGGTTGAGTATAACGGTAGTCCACTGATAACATGTCTAGGGGTGGAGTATAACGGTAGTTCACTGATAACATGTCTGGGGGTGGAGAATAACGGTAGTCCACTGATAACATGTCTGGGGGTGGAGAATAACGGTAGTTCACTGATAACATGTCTGGGGGTGGAGAATAACGGTAGTTCACTAATATCATGTCTGGGGGTGGAGTATAACGGTAGTCCACTGATAACATGTCTGGGGGTGGAGGATAAAGGTGTTCCACTGATAACATGCCTGGAGGTGGAGAATAACGGTAGTCCACTGATAACATGTCTGGGGGTGGAGTATAACGGTAGTCCACTGATAACATGTCTGGGGGTGGAGTATAACGGTAGTCCACTAATAACATGTCTGGGGGTGGAGTATAACGGTAGTCCACTGATAACATGTCTGGGAGTGGAGTATAACGGTAGTCCACTGATAACATGTCTAGGGGTGGAGTATAACGGTAGTTCACTGATAAGATGTCTGGAGGTGGAGTATAAAGGTAGTCCACTGATAACATGTCTGGAGGTGGAGAATAACGGTAGTCCACTGATAACATGTCTAGGGGTGGAGTATAACGGTAGTCCACTGATAACATGTCTAGGGGTGGAGTATAACGGTAGTCCACTGATAACATGTCTAGGGGTGGAGTATAACGGTAGTTCACTGATAACATGTCTGGGGGTTGAGTATAAAGGTAGTCCACTGATAACATGTCTGGTTGGTGGAGTATAACGGTAGTTCACTGATAACATGTCTGGTTGGTGGAGTATAACGGTTGTTCACTGATAACATGTCTAGGGGTGGAGTATAACGGTAGTTCACTGATAAGATGTCTGGAGGTGGAGTATAAAGGTAGTCCACTGATAACATGTCTGGAGGTGGAGAATAACGGTAGTCCACTGATAATATGTCTAGGGGTGGAGTATAACGGTAGTCCACTGATAACATGTCTAGGGGTGGAGTATAACGGTAGTTCACTGATAACATGTCTGGGGGTGGAGTATAAAGGTAGTCCACTGATAACATGTCTGGGGGTGGAGTATAACGGTAGTCCACTGATAACATGTCTGGTTGGTGGAGTATAACGGTAGTTCACTGATAACATGTCTGGTTGGTGGAGTATAACGGTAGTCCACTGATAACATGTCTAGGGGTGGAGTATAACGGTAGTTCACTGATAACATGTCTGGGGGTGGAGTATAAAGGTAGTCCACTGATAACATGTCTGGGGGTGGAGTATAACGGTAGTCCACTGATAACATGTCTGGTTGGTGGAGTATAACGGTAGTTCACTGATAACATGTCTGGTTGGTGGAGTATAACGGTAGTTCACTGATAACATGTCTAGGGGTGGAGTATAACGGTAGTTCACTGATAAGATGTCTGGAGGTGGAGTATAAAGGTAGTCCACTGATAACATGTCTGGAGGTGGAGAATAACGGTAGTCCACTGATAACATGTCTAGGGGTGGAGTATAACGGTAGTCCACTGATAACATGTCTAGGGGTGGAGTATAACGGTAGTTCACTGATAACATGTCTGGGGGTGGAGTATAAAGGTAGTCCACTGATAACATGTCTGGGGGTGGAGTATAACGGTAGTCCACTGATAACATGTCTGGTTGGTGGAGTATAACGGTAGTTCACTGATAACATGTCTGGTTGGTGGAGTATAACGGTAGTTCACTGATAACATGTCTAGGGGTGGAGTATAACTGTAGTCCACTGATAATATGTCTGGTTGGTAATTACATCCAGGACTTACGTAACAATGCGTACTGCTATGTGCAGAATAACTTCGTTATTATTGTATAGTCAATCAATGTAATTTAACCAGAATTTGTTATATGCACAAATTCGCATGCTTTCGTGATTTATTCATCTCAGATCTTCCGATCGAGCAATTAGACCTTGATGTGTCAAAGTTGTCAAACATGTTTATTTTCAAAGAAATGCTGTTTTGAAAACGGAAGGGCATATAAATGGATTTTTATGTATCTAGATGCATAGAACAACCTATTACAATGTCATATTACTTAATCCAGAAGTGATGTTATAAGATGTGCTCATAGATAATACATTTCGAGTCCGTTGATTATTTTTTGTTGAAAATTTGCACTGTATCAGACAATTGTTTTTATGCCATTTTACGTTTAGAAAGTTTATGACTTTGATCACAAGATACCTGGATACTTCCCATTTAAAGATTACCCTTTAGAGGGGAATGTGTTTATAACCTGATGAAAGTTAGTTACATGTAAGAAATACATACTAATTAATCCATAGCGTTTAACCTGTTCAAAACTTTAGTTTCAAACAGGAAAGAAAGGAAACATGTCATTTGATGACTATAACAAGAGAGAGGGCATGACCCCAAGACAGATTGCCGATCTATTCACAAGCGTTGCCAGCAGTTACGATCAGGTGAGATGAATGCCATATTATACGCTATAGTCTCTTATTTTCACCAATATGTTACCTCAAAGAGCCACGGACACAATTCATTCCAACTATCCATATATGCATAAAGACAGTGGTATTTTGATTGCAATAAACTGTGTGTATGATATAATAATATGATGTGCTGCTCAAATGGACGTAAGGTCCATCCGATTCATTTACTACAGTACATCTATCCTGCCTTTTTGACAAGTGTGTGCGACAGTTGATGTCGTCATGATTTACACAGATGCATACAATATACACACAATCCCCACATATATACCAACGCTTTTTGAACACCTGTCCTATTCTTCACAACACTACAAAACACACAGGGGCGGTGGTGTAGCCTTGTGGTTAAAGCGTTTGCTCGTCACGCTAAAGACCTGGGTTCGAGTCCCCACATGGGTAAGATATATCAAACATATTTCTGATGTCCCCCGCCGTGATATTACTGGAATATTGCTAAAAGCTGCGTAAAAGTAAACTCACTCACTCACACGGATATACCAATCTAACCATAAACCTACCATCTGCACTTGGCTGTCAGGCTGAGTGAGTTGGATGATTGCTTCTGATCGTACTGGGGTTTTATACGGATGATGTACATTTACAGATATGGACAATCCCAAGTTACAGGGACCCTATACACGTGTCCGAGTGTGTCTCGGACTTCTTTAAAGAAGATAAGAGGGCATCTGTGAGGATTCTGGATGTTGCTGCAGGCACAGGGATGTTAGCGGAACAGGTGCGCCCATTGCTCTGGTGTTACTTGTGGAAAGGCTAAGACTGATTCAGTATTCATGAAATTGTCAGGTTCAGACCATGTATTGTGTATGCTATACGTGGGGATCCTCGGTGTGTAAGGTATGGCACTGGGTGTCAGAAATACAATGATGTTGGGATTCTATCAGTGGGAGACTGGATGTTGGGATTCCATTAGTGTGACACTGGATGTTGGGATACCATTAGTGGGAGACTGGATGTTGGGATTCCATAAGTGTGAGACTGGATGTTGGGATTTCATTAGTGGGAGACTGGATGCTGGTATTTCATTAGTGGGAGACTGGATGCTGGTATTCTATTAGTGTGAAACTGGATGTTGGGATTTCATTAGTGTGAGACTGGATGTTGGGATTCCATTAGTGGGAGACTGGATGTTGGGGATTCAAATATAGGGAGACTGAATGTTAGGATGCCATTAGTGTGAGACTGGATGTTGGGATTCCATTAGTGGGAGACGGGATGTTGGGGATTCAAATATAGGGAGACAGGATGTTAGGATGCCATTAGTGTGAGACTTGATGTTGGGATTCCATTAGTGGGAGACTTGATGTTGGGGGTACATGGCATGATATATACACCGAGAAAGATTTTGTGAAGTTGTTTTGCTCACATGTGACATTAACAGATATGAACATTTATTTGTTTACACTTTTAACAATACTTTTCTTCAATGTATGTTTTTCCTTAAATTATCTTATATACAACATACAAGCAAAACGTGAAAGTCATCTTCAACGATATTAAAGAACATGTCTGCATTTTCTTTTATGGCTTGCCAACTTCATCTACTTACCTTCGTGAACTGCTTCTAAACTATGCCAAAGGTTTTCTGTATTGGCCTATGATTAAATCGGTTAAGATGTACGGTGCATATTTGCATTTTGGTATATTATCTATGATATTCAGGCATGCTAGAAACATTGCTGGAACTATCTGAGAGATTACGGTTTAATACAACACTCGTATGGATTACGTCATCTAATTTGTTTTGGTTGGGGTAAAATATCTTTAATCAGCATGACTTATGATATCTGCAAGCGGGTTAAGACCCTTGCTCGGGGGTTATGAGCAGTCGGGACCTGCTTGGGGATTTGAAATGTTTTCGTTTTCCACATTTGATCAACCACTTACAATTACCAACATGAAGCCCCATGCATGATATATTTATGTTGTCCATCCAAGTAGGAACCTTCTTGTATTAGCGTTTAACCCACAAAGTTTCTGTCGGAATAGGTTTTGTGTCAAGCACTCACAGCCAGCACTCTCCTCCTAATACCCCCTGTCAGATTCCTGATCCTCTGAAGGAGCAGTCTCCGCCATTCTTCGTGTAAAGCAGCTTCCAACTGGGCCAGTTTTTGTACAGAAGGATCCCTTTGTTGCACACGACGACCAGTCACGTCCCAGATATGCGTCAAAGGGTTAAGATCGGGACTCATCTAGTCGTGAACTAGGTCAGGGGGTGCATAACTAAGTTCTTTGTGTATATACCACGTGACTTAAGTGAGTGAGTAAAGATGTACGGTCACATCTGCAATATTTCAGCCATATTGTGACTAAACCAAGTTTTAAATTCACCATAAATACATGTAAATTATAAAAAGCCTTTCAACGAAGGACAGTAAAAACAACAGTTATGAATATAGAACTAGTAGGTAAATCTAAAATATGTCAGCTACAGAAGACAATAAATATAAAAAACAACAAGATATATATCACCAACAGCTGAAGGTAGATCACCATACTAGGTACCATGGAGACTTACAGTACATTTACTTCCTGCATGGACCCCAGCTGGATTTACACCATTCCTTCAGCTCTTTAGACAATTTTGCCGGGAATGAAGTGACTTAAATTAAACTTATGTACTCACTCACTTCTCATAGCATACCGAAATGTATGCGTCGTATTCTGTCTTGAGCTTTTGAGATGTAGATAGCTATTTAGATACACTATGTAAGGTCAGAAGACCCTGTGTCGGAAACGCCGCATGGCAACATAGACACAAAATTCTTAATGTATTTCATTGAGATTATTAACCGAGTGTGTTTCGGTATCATTAAGATAATATATTAGGAATACAAAATGTATTATGCGAGCCTTTGGCGAGCATAATGCATAATGTTTTGTCCTAATATGTGATATTAATGATGCAGAAACACACGGGATTAATAATCGCCTTATCATATGATGTCATTCTTAAAATTATTCTAAAAAAAGAAGGAAATCATATGCGAATTTATATGAAGAGAATCGAGCATTCGCGTAAGAATACTTAGCGGTACACCAAGGTGAAGGTCGTTCATGACGGCGGCATAATTTTATGGTTGTGACAAGTTGCTAATACAGTGCAAACATAACACATGCTTAAAATGAGATCTTTCGGTCTAAACAGAACAACAAAATCGGGCAGGGTTTTCTTGGCAGTGTTTCTAATTTCACTGCGGGTAATCACCTCATCAATATCAGTTTCTGATACCTGACGGAATCGATTAGTCATCTGTATAGTGATGGACAGATCACAATCCTTGGTTGGTACTTTTCTTAGACGATCGCCTTTCACTTGTGACTCATAATTCGTACCTAGAATTTGAACGAAATAATCCGTTTCATGGTTTCCAAAGTCAATTCCTGCTGTAACGACTCCAGACCCTCTGTCAGCAATTCTTACAGAATCACCAATTTTGAGAATGGGGGCAGCTATGTTTGTTTATAAACTCGTCCACGCAATTTAAACTCGCGACAACGTTATCAGTGAAATGCTAAAACGTTTATGATTCGCATGCCGTGTATGGAGTTTTATGAAAGTAGTTCGTGGATTGACGTAGTTTGCACAGCTATCAGATTTGGACACCAAGTTTATCCGATTGCTTTATTGCATCGATAACACGCTCCATTAGATGATAATTAGGTATACTTGTCTCTTTTCCGGTTATTCTTTTCATACTTAGCCGACTCTTGTTGTAATATGGTCCACTGTTTTCTTAAGTTTGTGCACTCGTGCGTACGTGCAATAAAACTATGACATATTGGTATACGCTATAAATATCCTGATTGTATTTTCACTAAAAATATTCCATATGCACTATGCTAATTTGATCCATATATTAGCGTCACATGTTAGATCGATGCTCATGCTGTTGATCACTGGATTGTCTTGTCTAGACTGGATTGTTTACAGACTGCTGCCAACTGACCGAAACTAATACTACAACTACATTAGTTTACATTCAATGTTCATAACGTGTACGATATTAAACTTATGTCTTGACATAGAATTAATAATATATACATGAAGAGTGGTTTCTCGACACATAATTGCTCATAAGCGATTATCTCTTGGCAGACCATGCCGTCCGTCTGGGCTTCATGAAACCAACTCTGTGCCCTGCATAGCGGGGATATATCATTATACAGTTTTACAAGGGAGAAGTCATTGCTATAATAAATAATTAATGTTCAAACTTCTGGCTGAAATAAAATTTATAATAAACTATAAAATAAGTAATTGAATCAAATTCTCAACAGTCATACATGATGCGTTGACCGAAAGTAAAATCACTGTGCAAACTATACACATGGAATTTAATTGAGCACCTCTTAATATAGATCATCATAGCGATGATGTTATCGATGATGATGATGGTGATAAGTCATTGGTGCCATTGTTTAGCCCCACATTTCAGGTAATGAAAAGCCGCGTTTCAGTTTGGAAGGGTTTGCCAAAACACAGCCGATATTCATACATTTATCACTCACATATTTACCGAGTGAACGTTTCTCTATCTAAATTTATGTTTTGAAATGAAAATATGTTTCCACTTATAAACAGTTGTGCTCAGCTGTAGTAGACTAAGGAAGGAAACAGTTATGATATTGATTACATGTTTCAGCTGTGGAAAAAGGGATTTAGGCAGCTAGACGGTCTTGGTCCATCGTCTGGTATGATGGGTGAAGCAATGAAGAAAGGCGTATACACTAATTACTACCTGGAGTTCATGGATGAAAACCCCATCAGCACACTGAAGACAGGTTAGAGATATATATGACAGTATATTATGAAGACATTATTAATCGCGTGTGTGTGTGTGCATATATATATATACAGAGAGAGAGAGAGAGAGAGAGAGAGAGAGAGAGAGAGAGAGAGGAGAGAGAGAGAGAGAGAGAGAGAGAGAGAGAGAGAGAGAGAGAGAGAGAGAGAGAGAGAGAGAGAGAGAGAGAGAGAGAGAGAGAGAGAGAGAGAGAGAGAGAGAGAGAGAGAGAGAGAGAGAGAGAGAGCGATGAATGCATATGAGTGTGTATGTGAGTAGTCAGCCAAACGTCCTATTAGACATATAGTCTCCGATTGCATTAACGGGGTAGGATATTAGATAACCTTTACAACGTTTCATATCGTTCTAAGAAGGACGAACGTAGCTAAGGAATTCAACGGTCATGGACGTGTATTTAACAATGACGAAATTGAATTATGTTGAATTTTCAAAGTATCATATGGTTAACCCAATGGTATAACACAAATGGACCAAATATACAAATCTGGAACACTCAACTTTCAAATCGCCAATCAGTCGTCATTAACAGTTAGTCAAGGCTATTCTTCATACTGATACTGTAACTTATGATACGTGCACATCACCAGACAGTTATAATTGACAAATACATTCGAAGCTTGGAGAACCGATTGATTTCAATATCCGATTAACTATTGCAATTCATCGTTCTCTGAAAACACACTGGTAGAGCCAACATCCTAATTAGCTCATACATGCTAATAGTATATATTCCATTTTTGGGTGATATTATTATTCACGGACCTTTCACTAGGTCCGATATACAGTTTACAGAAATTGATTGACATATATCTTCATTTTCACTTCATCTTTTGTTTTTTGGGTGGTATTTATATCGCTTGTTTAACTTTTAGACACGTACGACTGCGTGGTGGCAGCTGGGGCTTTCAACATCGGGCTGCTACCTTGTGCTGCGTTGCTAGAGATGGTGCGACTTGTGAAGCCGGGTATTGGGATTTTACTTCCTCTTCACGTGGTTCACCTGAAGTGGTGTTCCTGAGTTGTATGTGTTTGAGATTCGGATTTACAGACAAGTTCCATTAAAGTACCCCTTTTTAGACTGCGATGTTCCAGAGATCACCTAACATTCAGCACTATCACAAATCCTATGTATTAAACGTATTAATGAGAGATAGACAGAACCTAAATAATACCAAAACAAACTTTAATTTATTTTTAACATCAAGCCGCTTCAAAGGTGTGTGATGTCACTGAACCAAGATAGTTAGCAAGTCAGTAAACAGACTATGGTGTATTTAGAACAGAATGAAAAACACACACAATATGTACGTTGGATTTATTGATAATTTCTGATTGTGACCAGTTTTTGTGAGTGAGTGAGTGAGTGAGTTAACGTTTACAGTCACAGCGGCAGTATTTCAGCTATACAGCAAGGTTATAGATACTGGGATAATATATTTTCACGCAACCCAAATTACCCCCGACATTGGTGATGGGTCAGGACACTTGGCAATACATACCAGACCTCTTCAGGAAATATATGTCTTTGAAATAGTTTAATTCTAGCCAGTATGTCCTGCAGAAATTGACCTGTGGACAAAACCAACTGATTTGGTGGTCGTCGTTGTCCGTTGCAGGAGGTGTGATATGTTTCGGGATCCTGGATGCTCGATTCACTGAGGTAAAGGATTACATCGACAGGCTGGAACCTCTGATGCAGTGGCTGGAGCAGGATGGGGCGTGGCAACTGTTGGACAAGAAACACTACGATGATTCTTACGACCAAGACCCTGGAAATCTCTTCAGATATATTGTTCGAGCTTCTGATGTTCAAGTGAAACAATATATACAGAAGCTTCGTCATGCCCATTGATTCGCCTCCATGTAATTGCGATATCAGCTGTAGTACAGTAGCACTTACATTGTAGTACAATCACTGCTCAAGTTAATATTCACAACCTTATGTACTTCATAATTATTCCATTAGTACCTGTTACACGTACGTACATTCCATATCCAAGTGTATCTTGTAAACATAAATATGAGTCACAAATACATAACTGAAACAATACGAAAGCCAACATGTGAAAAGAAGGATACGATTTTGACTAAATGAGTCTATCAATAACCAGGGAAAGTGGGGTGGTCTAGTGGTTAAAGCGTTCGCTCGTCACACTGAAGACCCGGGTTCGATTCCCCACATGGGTATAATGTGTGAAGTCCATTTCTGGTGTCGTGATATTGCAGGAATACTGCTAAAAGCGGCGTAAAACAAAACTCACTCGCTTGCTATCAATTTCTATCAAATAGTACTAATGCAAGGCGTCCAGATCTCTTTAACCTTGCTGCCGGGTTTCAGAGTATTTCTGTTGTTGTGTCTGCCGTCACTTGTACTTGTTTTGACATTAACTGCGTTGGTATTGTCATAGCGTCTAATTCATTAATACAATTTTTACTGTATGTGACATTTATAGCCTTAATTGATCATCCCCCTTGGCCGTGTCTGCCATTACATCAACTGGTCCACGGAAGTGCTGTTGTTTCTCTCTCTGTCCATTGTTGAGTCTTCGCCTGTCCATTGTTGTCAAAAACTGTATATATATATATATATATGCTCACATCTATATTGTCAAGGAATCCGGTATTCCGACTGTCTGTGTAGTGATGACTGGGAGCAGGATAATGCCGCTCGTAGGAAACGCCTTGGGGTTGAGCTGGAACTCCGCTCACCTCATTCATGTATACTTCTCTTATCATGTCATGTATAACTAAAGAAGTTGGTACTCAAAGTGTTCCTTCGTCTTTGTCAACGTATTGTTCGTCTCAGTTATGAGCTGATACCCCTGTCAACACACATCTACGCGTTGACAGTATTTCATTTCAGCTTGACAACGATACCAGAATCTGTATCGCCCTCATGAAATAAAGACGTTGTTAACCACAAAGTTTGCCTTTATTGAACTTCCCAACTTCTAATATGCCACTCAAAGAAGTTATGCCTCAAGGGTCATTGGATAATATTTCATTCACTGTTTCTTCAAAGCACAACAATGAGTGTGTGAGTAAGTTTGGTTTAACGCTGCCTTTAGCAATAGTCCAGCAATATCACGTCGGGGGACACCAGCAATGGGCTTCACAGATTGTCCCATATGGGGAATCGAACCCCGGTCTTCGGCGTGACGAGGGAACGCTTTAACCACTAGGCTACCCCACTGCACCCAAAGTACAACAGATAGAGGATGGGTGACAATATACGACGCTGTCTTACTTACATCTGCCACATGCATATGCCAGTCGTGTCATGCTTGTTGCTTGTTGCACATGTGGGTGCGTTTTAGACAAGTCGTAGTAATGTCGAATGTATGACACATTGTTACAATGCCTGTACGAATTTGTAGCCATCTACAGTCGGATGCTTTTTCTACATTTACAACAAACAATAAATAACCCTTCATTCATTGTAAATACTTAATGTAGAAGACTGAAAAGTAAATAAACGGTCAGTAGTACAGAAGCTCTCTCCATAACCTAAATGACATTCTGATACATTCGAGATTCAAGATTAGGTGCTGAAGTCTGAGGGTGTGAGTTCGATCCCGGATGGGACTCAACCCAACAAAAGAACGAGAATCTGTACTGAGAAAGTGTAATCCCAATTATAACATTATAACTTTTGAGTACTGATATTACTGTTGTAGCAGGAACGGATCCCTTTAGCAGAACTACGTATATGGGCATTATCAAGTACTAAAAGTACGCAACAGTACTAAATGGCGAAGCCCGAAATATTCCTTAGAGTATGTTTACATCACAACTATGCCGCCATGGTCATCTTACATGTTCGCTCCTTTTGGCAAATTATTGCTGCTTTTTTCATGTAAAGGGCTAAAAGACTTTTGTGATTGATTAAACACATTCCCCTTTCCGTAACCTCCAAGAAGACTGTTCCACCTCTCGACAAATGTAACCATTCGTTACCACTCGCCCCTTTCCGTAACCTACAAGAAGACTGGTCCACCTCTCGACAAATGTAACCATTCGTTACCACTCGCCCCTTTCCGTAACCTACAAGAAGACTGGTCAACATCTCGACGAATGTTACCATTCGTCACCACTCGCTCTTTCCTTGACCTCCAAGAAGACTGGTCCACCTCTCGACAAATGTTACCATTCGTTACCACTCGCCCCTTTCCGTAACCTCCATGAAGACTCGTTCCCTCTATGGATGAGTGTAATGTGCCAAACTGTATCGTCATTTGACATGAGAAGGAACACACCTAACAGAATTGTGCTGCCTAATTTGAAGATTTTATTAGAATAGGGCCATGCGTGATGCGAGATTCAAATGCCAACACGAGCGTTTGTTCATAAAGCGACTATCATAAGTGTGCTCTTCGGCGAGTTTCGGGATTGCTGTGGAGATGTTACGTTCGTTTTCATACATTGTTAGGTAATGGAATTTTTGAAACACGTTGTGGCGTGTGGTCCTGTGCATAGAGCTCAGGGTCTCGGAGAGTCTTTGAGATGGGTGACCGTGTCTGATAGCTTGACTCCTGAGAGTTTCTAGGACTTCAGTCCTGCCCCACAACGAAGCACATGTGACGCATGTGGTCTCATCTTAGGCAGGTGAGTTTGTTTAAAATTGCCTCTGTTCACCCAGCAGAACAATGGGTACCCTCTGAACTAAGTCGTGAGACTGTCTAGCCTGGAAAAGGCGCGTTATTAATATTCTCATTGTTATAATTGTTATTATTATTACAAAAACACTGATCACCTAAATTCAAACACTGTGATTACACAGTCAAGTCCTGTTTGAGATTCTTAAGCCTTACTAGAAATATACATTTTGAAATATAATGTGAATAGCTGGTAATAATCAAATTAAAATATTTCAATCAATCTTCACAATCATTATATTTTTTTAAAGCAGCCACGTTCATGTGCTTCTGTAATGCTCACTACTGTTTGAGTTGTTTGAAGTAGCTTGAATAACACCAGTGGACCAAGAGTGACTGAACAGTGTGACCACCTGAATGAATAGCCCTATCCGTTTCACAAATTTTCCAAAAGAAAAAGCCATCAGGTAGACATCGCACCTCTGTCAAATTATGATTAAGATTACTTAGACGCAGCATAAAAATATGACAACTAAAAAACTGAAAAAATATAACAGCTAAATTTGTACATTTGAGTTCACCGCATGTGAATTACATGTGCTGTCAATGTTTTCAAATTATATTTCCTTTCATTGAAACTCCTCTAGAGGCGCTATGATTTGTGTGCTGAAGTAGTATGTTCCTTTGCCATAATTTGCGTATTACAAACCACGAACATGTCTTGTGGACAGGTGCGCGTGCAATCGTCTCGTATGTTCTGACAATGATGGCGTCACGTCAGTACAGCTGTGTTATGTCTTGTGTATAAAACATTTTGGTTTCGAAACAAATAAGAGAAACCTGTCGAAACAGATCCAACAATAAACAGCAATTCTAATTTATCCACACAGATATATCTTGAATAATTTATAGATACGATAATGAGCAATTTTGGAAAGATAAACACAGAATATACATTAGTGAGTTCTGCATTTCATTATTTTTTACTTGTTAATTACCACCTGAGTGATTTCATTGTAGTTTTTAAAATCATTCCTTATGACTGTTCGAAAATTACGAACATTTTTGTTATTATCTGATGATAGAAAAATATGCTGTTATACATTGCTTATTAATTTCCAAATCGAGCCGAACATTATTGTCTTGACCGTGACCTTGTTCTAGTTCTCCTTTCTGATCGGATGGTAATTGTGTGGGCGGGGTTGAGCTTGAGATTAGTGCGTTCAACCATGTTTTACTTGGTAATTTCATTGTGGTTTTAAAAAACCTTCCTTGCGTCTGTTCGAAACATGAATAATGATTGTTATTGTCTGGTGATAGACAAACATGTTGTTTTAAATTTCTAATACATTTACAATTTTGCTCTAAATAAGATGCTTGCTTGACAACGACATTAGAATCTATGTCGAAACGTCGTCTATACAGAATAAAGAAGTTGTATATCCATAAACATAGTCCTCATTCTTCATTTCAAATTAAACTATTAAATTCTTACTCGCCAGGCGTTTATTTTATGATTTATGAACTCAACTGGAAAAGGCAGTTAAGATTTTTCTGTGCAAATAGAAGACGGGAACTACATCCTGTCAAACACTGTGTGCCTTTAAACTTTCGATCCCTTCTAAATTAATCAAGACCGGCTATGCAAACATCAGTAGAGGTGTGTGTCCCCAATTTAATCCTATGCTTGAAGTGGTTTTAATAATGCACTCATTACGGGAGTTTGTCAAAGGTGACCGCCATGAGAACAGCCATAGTCATAAAATAACTAAAGCATCACAAAAAGAGTTAAAACTATCTAGCATATATTTTTAAAAGTAGAAGGGAGTAGTGTAGGACAGCACCCTGGAGACGTTTGCAAGATGGTCTCGTGATCCAAGATGGCGGTACTTCCTGTCCAAGATGGCGGCACTTCCGGTAAGGAGAGGCCACTTGGGGTCCGGTCGGTACTTCCGGTTCCGGTATGTGCGCACGCATCGCGATGATGTCACCTCCAGGCCAAGATGGCGGACGCGTTTCAAGATGGCGGCCCATCCGGTGGGATCTCGTGAGAATTTCGTGGAATCTCGCGGGATCCTTCGAACGTAGACACCATGCAAGAAAGCGGACGAGCGGCGGACGGGGAAGGAGGGAGGGAGGGAAGGAGAGGGAGGGAAGGAGAGGGAGGAGGGGGAAGGAGAGTGGTGAGAGGACGATGGGGTGGCTAGAGAAGTGTGTGGTTCAAGCTTTGATGAGTTTTATAGCTGAGGTTGATGACGCCCCTTTGGGCCGTCGGGTTAGTGTGGCGTGACGTCATAGGGTGTGTGACGTCCTGGGCAAATCCCATGGGAAAAACCCCTGGGGAAAACTCATTGTAAAAAAAAACCATAGGAAAAAAAAAC